GGGTTATGTTGAAAAGCAAGCAAAAATGTCCTACAATTTTATACATTTCGCTGCACATTGATTACATCGAGCGTCATCAGGTGTGAACCACAGCCCAGCCCTTCCATGAAATAGCTTCCTGATCCGGGTCCTTAAGGTAGGTGCCATGACATCACAGGGACAATCGTACAAGTGAACTGGTTGGATGAGAGTTGGTTGCGTGGCAGGTTAGAGTAGTGGAATAAGGTGAATACGTTTAATGAAAGCTGAACATCACTTTCACCCCTGTACAAGTCCTATTACAATGACTTTAATGCCGTAGCAGCTGATTGCAATGTGACTCTTATGTTTTACCGTAATTAGATCAATCAATGTTTATTTGTTGCACGGAAAGTCCCATTTAGTCAGTTATCCAGCAATGGTCAATGGCATTCCCAGTGCAATTTTACATTCATAATTAAAACTCAATAATTTGCGTAACTTTGTAATATTTCCATTTGTGTTGCAGAAAATTGCTTCGCGAGGTCATAAAATACTGGATACCATGGTGACCGATCATGTACAAATGTAAATCTCTCAGCTGGAAAATAGTGAATCACAGCTCTCTTGCAAAGTAGGTACAAACATGAGATCACAATCTGGCTGGAATGGTGCTTGTGGTTATGACTCACAGACAACATATCTATAAAGTTAAAATCCCAGTCGGGATTCTACTTAGCCCATCATTATTGGGGGGGGGGGGGGGGGGGTGACATCGAATGAGTACAACTATGTGGGAAGCCACAGTGGAAACCCTGTGTGGGAGGACTGAGCCTCTCAACAAGTGGTCACGGGAGGATTTCACCACCGGTCTGAAGGCCACCAATTGGGAGGTTAAATGACCTCCCCCATTCGCTCATCTGAGCGGGGACTCTGCATTGACTCGATAAGCAGACTGCGACGCTCTCTCTGTCCGGACTCGATAAGCAGACCGCGGTGCAGTCGAAACGTGCATTTCCTTTACCATCGGGCGGCAATTGCTCACTCGTAAAAAGGTGAACCTGTGAACCGGATACGATGATTAATGGTATCAACAGCAGGGCCGTTGTGGAGGGTGGAGGGCGGAGCGATTGGCTAGTTCTACAGATGTTGCTTGGAAACGCAGATAAATAAACACACCGCACATGCCGCTTTTACAGCTCTTGATACAAAGTGCAGTGGGAAATGAGTCCTTTGGTGGCGCAACACATCCAATGGAAATTGTTTTCCCTTTAACGCGCATCGCACTCTGGGGGAGGAGGTGGGGGCTCACAGGAGCAACGCTTAGGACAAGTTCAGTAGTGGCACAGGTGTCGGGCAACGAGTCCTATTGAATGTGTATTATTCATGCGGTGACTTGGACGTATGCCCGGACGCCACTCGTGGGGTTGTGCGAGACGCTGCCACACTTTACAGTACGGAAGCACATCCAGTGCCGCCGTGGCTATAAAAAAGCCATCGAAGTAATTTTAAATGAGTGTATTTTCATAACGTGCACTACACTACAACACGTGCAGTGTATAATATAAGCAGGCAGACGCGCGTTTTTTTAGATCATACCTGCTTGCAGAATTTGGATTAAACCCGCTATAGTAAAATATACTGCATGTACTAGCCCAGGGGTCGGCAACCTACGGCTCCGGAGCCGCATGCGGCTCTTTACAGGCTGCTTCTTGACGATGAGTACGTATGTACTCAGATGCATTGCGGCTCTTGAAATACTGAATTTTGTACCGAATTGGAAAGAAATGGCTCTTCTTGTTATTTTGGTTGCCGACCCCTGTACTAGACGATTAGCATCAGCAGCAGTAATTCCACATATACTATAGAAACACTGGCTCGTTCGGATGTCTTAGAATGATGGAAACATCCAAAAAGAGTGCCTTTAGAGTATTGGCATAAAGAATATGTTCACATATCCTCTAGAAAAAAAAAGCATTCCATTCCACGCACACACATGATTCAATTAACAATTGTTGTGTAAGCGATTAACTGCGCTGTCGTCATAAAATTACATTAAATATTGTTACTTGTAGTTCTAATATAAACACAGTATATTTCGAGCTTACTGTGTGATGCCCATACAGGTTATGCATTCACAAGTATGCATATAGGGCACATATTGCATCTGTTACATATACGTCTGCGGTTTACACTTACATAACCACGAGTGTGTGTTAATGAAGTACTGCGTATCGATAATCTCGTGCGAAGGAGCTCGATGGGACAAGTTCATCACGATGATGCGAGGGATGGGAATGGTTTTTGGGGGTATGGTACGCCTTCACCTACCAGTGGATAGATCATGGCTGACGGTATACACAACATTATGGGTGTGGAGAAAGCGACAATGCAGAATTCCACAATCTATTAACTGACGGTTGCCATTCAAGCAATGAAACACGAGTGGGGAATGAACGATCACACAGCGTCACAGTTGGACTGACAGTGTCCAACAACAGACTTGCAAGGAAACTTCATGCCGGGTTTTACGTTTCATTTTCCGGTATAGTATCCAGGTTGCACCCCATTATTGAGCTCCATTCACTCCCAGGCTAAGTTAAACTAACAGCCACCAATCCTCGTTGCTCACATGCCCGGCGCATGGCATTTTTTTCGAATACCAAAATTGCAGAATAGTTTGCGTTCAGGGATTAACGTATGCACGTTGAACTTCTACCACTCCGTACGTAGCCAACCGTGCTAACCGGAGGTACGGATGCAACGATGCACCGATTGATTGACGATTCATCAATTTAATGTGGATTCTCAAGCTATGTGGTACATGCATCACATTCCCAGCGTAATAATCGATGTGTTTTTTCTTTCTTTACGATTTGTATATGTTTGATGCCGCTGGTGCAAGCAACAAGTGGCCGCTTCATTCGCCACAATGTAAATAAATAATCCCTCGTGACCCTGAATCGCAACAACTCAGTGGCCGCTGGAGGGGAGATTTGTTACGTATATAGCCAACCGTGATAATCGGAGGTTCGCATATCCTCTGGCAAAATATAGCAGATGTTAGCCAGTGTGTATCAGGGCCAGCTGGGTACATGAGAGAGGGCCAATGTGGCTAAAACAACATCCACTGTGTATCCCTCGTTGCTGATGCTTATACAATGGCATTGCCCCCCCCCCCTCATCATGAGACCGAGTCACGATAAGGAAGGCCCTGGCGAGGTTTAGATACCAACTGAACCAGGTGTTTTGTGCATTCCTAAGGATTGAACCTGTGACTGCTGAGGTCATCCACGCAGTGCACATACCAAGACATCAAAAAGACAAAGATCCCCCGTATAGACTTAATATCATGTTGGGGCAAGTGCTGTTCAAGAGCACCTATGTAGGCCGACAGACCCAATCTCTCCCATAATCGTTCACAGGAAAACACACACATTTAATTATTATTGTTATTATTTTTGCCACAGCTGAGTAATATCTTAAAAGTTTGCCTAAAGTGCTCCGTGGTGCACCTGATGCGTGCAGTCATGGGGTGAAGAAAGGGTGCTCTGGTGCGCTGGCAGCTTAAAGACCATCACGATTTGTAAACGAGGCCGTGTTGCTAAAGAGGGGTGCACAGATTAGATGTACCCACTCATTTAGATGCAGCGCGTGTAAGGAAACATGCGTAGATTCCCCCCACATTAGGATAATGACATTTGGGAATTCTACGTCTAATTAATGATCGCTAATTATTGAATTATGTGACTACAACAATATTGCAATCGCTGGAAATGTATTCACAAGGGGATGCGATGATGTCCATACGCACAATGCCTTGCAAGTGCATGATAATGCATAGCTTAAAATAACTCATATTTAACGTTTGCATATTAACAAACCGTGGGCACACGTTTTATCAGCTCACATGCGTGTCCATCAACTCGCACAGAATGTCTGCTCTGCTTACGTTGTGTGTAAACTCAAACGGTCCTTTCGATACACAGACGGCAGGGCTGCGCGCACGATGGGTTGGGTAAAGGAATGGTTAACTTTGGGCTCCACCGTGTTCCTGTATTATGAGTCCCCATCGTTAACAACACAAACATATTTGTTTTACCCGGTTCACTGCCCCTGTTCACGTCAACCACGCACGTTTGACATTCATGCATGGGCACGCGTACACCGCACACCATCCAACGACGGAGACACGGGGGGGGGTGCTTCTTCAGGGTTATCAATATTGGTTAGGGCTGGCAGAGCCAAGAGGCACGGGGCGGAACCAGCCAAGCGAGCAACACGGGCACAGTGACAACACCGACACGAGGGCGCACAGAATGCTCATTTTGATTATCCTTATCGTACGAACAAATTACCGTTTAAATATTCAAGCTTAATTGCCGTTGTTTATTTTATACGAGCTTGATCGCCGCACGAAATTGTTGTTGCCGTAATAAACGTTAAACATTTCATTTTAGGCGGCGCAATTCCCATCGATGTTTTTTGTTATCAATAAAGCATTCTGAACAAACATGCAGAGACGCTGGGATTGCCACCTGTGTCCTGGTTTTCCCCGTGATCGTCCTCTTCTTGAGGTCGCCACCGTCCTGGGAAACCTGCGTTGTTGGTCTTTCCCGGACATAAAAAAAAATCCTCGTGGATTTTTTTTTGGTCGGCTGTACGAGATTATACAGCACTCAAGACAACGCATTTCTGGTACTGCGACAGATTTCCATTACCATTATACATCCCGGCTTGTTTGTACGTTAACATCTCAGAGGTGGCAACCCTAGCAGACAGGCACCACACACACACACACCTGCGCGCACCACAACAACAACGACGACACTTAGCTTGCAGATCACCGAGGGTTGTTCATAAGTCGGGAAAGCCATGCGGGACTCAGCAGGCACCAGGTTACGTCGCGAACAAGCAACACAGACGCCGTGCTACCGGCCGGCCGGGCTGTCAGCGCCAGCGGCGGCGGCGGTGATAGCCAGACACGGCGAGCCTGGCCACCACCACCACCGCCGCCACTGCCACGGAAGCCACGTCCTTACCCAGCTCCTCCATCTCGGCCGTCATGGACTTGGAGCGCTGCGAGAGGGCCGTGGCCGGGGCCCTTTTCGGCGGCGGCGGCGGCGCTGCGGAGAAGAGAGAGTTAGCGTCGGACGTCTTGCGGCCGCGCAGTTTCCGCAGCGCCGACGAGATGGTGAGACCCCGCGTCGTGCGCTGATCCTTGCTGTGGTAGAACTTAATGTCGTCGAAATCCGCCGATGGAGAGTGGAGGCCCGGCACACCACCGGTGCCCCGCGAGAGGCTGGCCGGCGTGGAGGGCATCCCGTCCGAGTGCCTGCTGTTGTTCAGGGTGATCATGCTGGAAACTTTCTTCATGTTTGCCCCGCCACTGAGATTCAGGGGGGGGGAGGTGAGAGTTTGGGGACCACTCGTTCGCGAGGTGAAGGCGACCTCTGTGGTTTTGTTGAGATGTCGCTTCTTGATGTTGCCGCCCGTGAGAGGCGGTTACTTATCGAGAGAGCCTCTCGGTCTCCCTGGCAGGAGACGCGTCGCCGTCGGTTTTCTCTCGGAGATTAAAAGTAATCGAATGGCCGGACTAGTTGCAGCCGAGCACTGAAGTCCCAAACAGAGCCGTGCCGACTGTTGAAGCACAGGATGCAGCCACGGAGTAAGCCCCTCCTTGTACGAGACAGCACGAAGGTTGTCTTCGAAGAGGTCAAAGTGATGGCAAGTTCCGCAGCAACACCTCAAAACATCTCCCTTTGTCGTTGTTGTTGCAAAATAAAAAAAAATTCAAATACTTTGCTTTAATTCAAAAAACAAAAATGCTCACAGGTGGAGGGATAGCAGAGATACAGAGGGGATGAGGGGGGCAAGAGCGCAGTCTCGCAGGAGAGAGAGAGAGATGCCTTCAGCTCGGGTCTCTCCACCACCCAAAATAGAACTTCATTTCAACACCGAACAAGAAGTTCTGGTTTTTCTCTCTCCTCTCTCAAGCCTGGGAGGCAACTGCGGCAATGATGTCAGCAGAGGCGAGTGTCATTCCTCCTCCTCCTCCTCCAGAGCTCTCCCGTCCTTCAACCAAGCTTGCAAGTCGTTGGATTTCATTCCTTCGTTTTCTGTGCTGCTGTTGTCTCGCCGTCTTGAAGCGTCGTCGAATAGCGCGGGATCTCAAGCGAGGACCAGAAAAAGACGACTCTAAAAGCAGGCTCTATTTGATTTCGCCTGCCTTTTGAGAATATCGCAACGCTTTGAAGAAAACCCTCCCAACCAACCAACACCACCACTATCACGACCACCACTGCTGGCGCACACGAAGACTCCGTGGGGTGGCTACGGGGCTCAAACTTCAAGAGCGGTGGCAGGGCGAGGGGGGAGGAGGTAGCAGGCACCGAACAAGCGCCAAACCCCGACGCCGGCTCGCCGTCAAGTGACGCCGGGGACCTCACCGGTGACGATGGTTGCTGTAACGCAGCTTCCACCCCACCCACCTCTCTCTCCCCTATCGGCCAACCCGCCCGCCCGGCCGGCACGCACGCCCACGCCAGGACACCCAGCGCCCTCCCCACCCCGTGCCTGTGTGCGGTCGACACCCAACCACAGGGCACCGCAACCATCGCCTCCCTCCTTCCCCCGTACAGCCCTGAGCAAGAGCTGTGTGGGGGGGGGGGCAGGTTGCTGTTCGCGAGGAGCACCTGTGGTGAAGGCGGAGGGGGTGGGGGGGTCAGCAACCACGCCCGGCCGCCTTTGTCTCCCCAGTGGCGATGTGTATTACTGCACGCATCCGCACCAGGTACTCATTTGAGGCGGAGTCGACCCAGGGGAGGCCCAGGGCCGGTTCAAATAATCGTCGCCGGTGTTGGCCGTGAGCGGGAATTGAACTCGGGTGGGCAGGTTCGCTCACCGCTACCGGGCACCCACCGAGGGCCTATCCATTGAGTAGGAACGCACACATCTGTCAAAACTCCCTCCCTGTACGCACGCGTACTTAGTACACCCCCCCCCCCCCCCACCTGCGTGCGTACGTACGATGGACCCCCCCCCCCCACCCGAATCCTATAGAACAACCGATATTTAATCCACGCAGAAACGACCAAGGATTAATAATATAAACATGTTCAAGCAAACAGATAGTCCACCGCCGGACTATCTAACTCATTTAAAGGCCAAAGTAGACAAATTATTATCGAGGCTTCACTCCCCCCAGTTTCCTATGCGTACATTGTCAGTAGACCCCCCCCCCCCCCCAATACGCAGGCGTGCGCATTTGGGTTAACCCCCCTCCATGCGTACGCACTGAATGGATGGCCCCCAACCCAAGCCCTCCCAGCCAGCCCGCCCTGCCTCCCGCCCTGCCTCCTGCCCTGCCCGAGCCACCCCACCCGCTCGTGCTTTGTCACGATGCAGTTCGCGGCTGGGAACTTCTTTTGAAAGAGAGAGAGAAGAAAAAACGCCACATTCCTAACACTCCTGTGTCGTCGCCTTGGGAACGCGGTCCTAAACACAAGCCTCCGTTTGGAGTTAGCATCATTTTGAGGTTTCCCAATAGACGCGTTATATTCATAGCTTGCCTATAAGTAAGTCCACGAGCAGAGAGTGTATTTGTCGATAAGTTATTGCCTTCTCGAGTTGGAGTGTGTGGCGTTGGCTAAACATATACTGCAACTGTCTATACGTTTAAACCATACTTATATTGTAGTCATGTATTGCATTTACAAGTACAGTAAATGATAATGAATGAAGAAATGTGTATGCTATAGAATACAAAATGTCAACTAAATACATTATGGGTATAAAAGCATGAAGGATGCCCACCTCTATAGTGTGAACTATTTCTCGATCCTTTCTTGTTATTAACTTTAAGTATGCATTATAATACTTTCTCAAATATCAACACATCTACCTGCTTAAAATTGGCAAGGGTACAATATTCAACTATATTGATGGCCCTGAGCCAGCAATGACAATTCCACATTCCCTTGACGGAGCGCCAGTCTCCATAAAAAAAACGTGATAACTTATTTTTTACGAACCTCATTGACGATTTTGGGTTTGCCCCCTAACCAGGATTTCCACTGGCAAACCTCTTAACTGTGAGTCAAGCTTTTGAACCAACAATTTCTTCCCACTGGATAACACGTATATTCAAATGTATGAATATCTTATGCATTATAGTACACGATCTCCAGATTTCCCACGCAAGAGACAGCTTGGTTTGGGGGCTAAAATGTCTACCAACCGCCTATCTTATACGCAAGAGTGATTTTTGTAATATATTCACTCTGTGATTTATTAAGCTTGTATAACTCGGAGGATAAGAGCCACACCCTGGCATGCGGTGGCATGTCTTTTTGGCTACACACGAGTACTTTCTGCCCCTCCTCTGCATAGAAGTTTTATACTTCGATGTAATTTCGAAGTGTTTCCAGTTTCTTCACTTGTCTTTCCTTGCACTTACGGTCATTCCAATTGCTTTTGTTGACTGCAATGGAAAATGACTTTATTTGATGGTGACGTGAAACATATTGCACTGCAAATGTGCCTGATATTTTGTCTGCGTTTGTGCATCTCGGAGCGGGAGGCTACTTTTAAAGTTCCAATGGCACTCAATTCGTTTGTCTACGATGTACATGATCATCAGGTGTTGTACTATACAACAGTTATACATTCACTATAACTGTACAAAAACAAACATTCCCCGTACATAAGCGAGTAGCATTGATGAAGGCCGACACGGCACACGAGGGGGTGGGTGGCCAGCACTACGTCCGGCCGCCTTTGTCTCCCTCGTAGCAATGTTTACAAACTGCACAAGGTACTCATTTTAGGCTCGGTCGACCACGACACATGCACACATACGCACACAAACGTACACAGAACACATCCTGCCTCATTTAGAACTGCATTTGCTAATTATAGGGCGTATAAGAACAAACAATGCACTGTGTATATGTATATTACCACACAAACACAGGAAATACATACTGTATGGACGTACATTATATAAACAGACAGCTGTCAAAAGCGACTTACAGAACACATTGATGTGGTTTACTTTTCTGAAAATGATATAATGGTAATAGTGAAGAGTAAGTCTCTGCATGTCCAAAATCTGCTTCTATTACCTCTCGGTTGATGATATAACTAAATATGCAAGCATGCGGTATATTTAATTCCACATTCATATGACAAGGGCTAGCCAGCCTTCCCATAGAATGACTACTTTATTGCCTGCAAAGCGGCACTCACATTTATCATATAAAATCACCTCCACTGTTTTATGGATGTAAACACAAAATAAAACCGAGAATATTTCCACTTATCCGCCTTCATGTGAAGGATCAATCAATCAACCTTTATTTTTACGTGCCAATATTGCCCTCAATAAAGTAGGCATTAGTGCACATTGCAGATAAAGAGAGAGTGCAAATAAAGAGAGAGTGGATAATTGGCAAATAACAGCAAGGATTGTCAACCATATTCTTGGTTCTTTCGGCAAAGTCACGTAGAAGGGAATTAATAAAATAAGAAAAATAAAACATAATAAAGTTCTTACGTTTTTTTTTCTTCACCTGAGGACGGCTACTTGCGCTGTGGCCGAAACATCGTGAGAACTTTATTATGTTTTATTTTAATTAATTCCCTTCTACGTGACTTTACCGAAAGAACCAAGAATATGAATCCCTGCAGTCACGAAAGCTTTAAATCGAAAGATTGTCCACCACTTTGGGCGACTCTGCTAATTCGTGGATGAGCGTGTGTAGTAAGACGAATCTTGTGTTTCCGGAAGACTGCTTTCACGTCACTAACCGGCGGATGATCGAGGATAAACAAGAATATTCCATAACTTCTGGTTTACTCATCAGCAGAGATTATGAAGGATATGTCACGCAGATAATGGGACTTTAAGATAATTTAATATGGGACTTGGATTATAGGCAGGGGTAGCAAATAGTGGGGTGAAATGACGGGTGGGTGATCCAGATGTCTTGTGACCCCCCCAATTGACCCCTAACATTTTTTTCCTTTGCATACAGTATTAATTTCTGTATTATATAAACCTTACTTAAAATTAAAGTTTCAGAAAATGAAATGGGGGTCACATGACATCTGGACAACCCTGTAC